CCACCGCGATGCCCACCTCGCGCACTACGCTGCGCAGGCATCGTGCCCCCCTGCTGACAACGCCGCCTCAATTCCAGCTTGTAGTCCCATATTGAAGATATCTAACCCAATGAGGGACAAATGAACACCATCCCATCTCATTACATCATCATTAACCCCTTCCAACTCGAAGTGCCTAACAACTATACTCCCCAGATGACGCACAAACCGGGACATGGTCATATTGACCTTACGCCTATAGCGCTCTAACGCCTTACCATCACCCCCGGTCTGCCAGACCGAGCGCGAAACGATCTCGGACCAGACGAGGGTCAGGTCCTGGAACAACCCAAAAGAGCGGGCCACGTCATGCCGCATCTCACGAACCAGCTCCACCGGCTGTCGCCGTCAAACATCGTTCCCGCCAGCGCCGGAGCTGCACCAGCTCGGCGTATAACCCGTCCCATGACAATCCCCCTCCAACGTACCCGTGCTACCTCGTACGATAAACCGAGGTTACGGCCATAGGGTCTAGTCTTAGCACACCTAGCAGCCCAATAAACAAAGGAGTGTCCCACGATCCAGACAAATCGAGGAGAAGGACCTACAACGAAAATAACATACAACCATAACTGCTGCGCCGCTAGCCTACAGCAAATGGGGGCGCACATAGAGCTGGAACTGACCCGATTGCCAGCGCCCCAAATGCTTGAGCGCCTCTGTGGGGAGGCCCAGCTGACTAGCCTGCGTGGCAGCCCCGATTCGAAATGAGTGCGTGGTGTACAAACCTGGAGACAGCCCAATACTGACAACCCCTGCACGAAGTACCCTGGCAAATTGAAACCAGCTGAGTGATGACCCATCCCGGTGCCACAACAGGGACCCCGCCTCCGATCCTCGTACCTCCAAGAACTCCCGCAGCAACCTAACCGGGCAAAACCGCTCACCGGTAGCCTGAATCCAAACCGACACGCCCTCTCCTGACTGATCGGTCTTAGACTTTTCAAACGAGGGTCGCCCGTCGAAACCCTGATATCAGAGATTTGCATGGCAGCCAGCGCCCATTTATTTGGAGCCACCAGCTCACCTATCCGAAGGGCCGCAAAGAAGCAGAGAGCAAAAGCGGACCGGGACAGGAGAACCTCGTAGACCGAGACACAAATCTGGGGCAGACGCTCTAGGAGTCTGCACAAGATCTCATAGGAGATTGGACGCAGAGAGTCCGGCTTATGGCCCCTCTTCCAGCCCTTCATGACCCGCGAGACGCAGAATGACTTGGTAGCATCCTGCCACCCACACCACTGGAACAGAAAAGACAGGGCCGCTAACGCTGCCTACCTACCTTCGTCCGAGGACACATCTCTGTCATTGCAGACATTCTTCCATTTCCGCCACACCGCGGAATACGACCTCCACGTCGACTCTGATAGCAACTCCCTCACCAACCGGCTCAAATGGTGGAAAACAGGTCCCATATGCCCACCGGGCACGAGGTTCCACCGCCTCTGGAGCCGCCACTCGAAACCTGTCCCACTGAAACCAAGAGAGAGAGTCGGCTATAACGTTCCGCTCCCCAGGCACATGGCGCGCAACCAACCACAAATTATGTGCTAAGTTAAGCAGTACCAGGCGCCGGAGGAGCGTCAACACCGGAGGGGATGCAGACGTAGATCGGTTGATCACATGGACCACACTCATGTTGTCCGTGTGCACCACCACCTTCCGATTCGACAGCTCTACACCCCAGAGTTCCACAGCCACCACAATTGGAAAGAGCTCCAGAAACGTTAAGTTACTCACCAATTCAGTCTCTAGCCATTGTCGGGGCCAGGCCTCCGCACACCAACGCCCTTGAAAATAGGCACCGAAACCCACCGACCCAGACGCGTTGGTGTATAATTCCAAATCCATGTTGGACACCGCCGGGCGCAGCCAGCAGGATTGCCCGTTGTACCTACCCAGAAATGAACTCCAAACTTGCAGATCCTCTTGATGCTGGTGAGTGATTCGAATGAAGTGAAACGGCTGATTGACTCCGACTGTTGACAATGACAAGCGACGGCAAAAAGCCCTGCCCAACGGCAATACCCGACAGGCAAAGTTCAGATGCCCCGACAAGGCCTGTAGCTGTCGGAGCTATACTTTTTTGGCCTCTTTCACCGAATCCACCAGCCGCAGCAGGTGAGTTAGTTTCTCGTCCGGCAAACGGAAAACCATGCTCCAAGTGTCCACTTCAATACCCAAGTAGGACAAGACTCCCACTGGCCCTACCGTCTTCTCTTCCGCTATTGGAACACCAAAATCCGCCACGACGGCTCGAAAGGAATCTAAGAGCATCACGCAGTCATCCGACTCCCGTAGGCCCACAAACAGAAAATCATCTAGGTAATGCGTTATCGACTCTACCCTGCAAACCGAACGACCACCCATTCCAAAAATGACGCAAACATTTCAAAATAAGAACAAGAGATAGCGCAGCCCATTGGCAAACACACATCAAAGAAAAAGGAACCTTGGAACCGACAACCCAACAGGTGAAAACAGTCGGGGTGGACCGGGAGCAGTCGAAAAGCTGACTCGATGTCCGACTTAGCCAACAGAGCTCCCCTCCCTGCCTCCCGGACCAACTCTAAAGCCCAATCAAAGGAGGCGTAGCGAACGTGTGACTCTTCCTTGTCAATGTCATCATTCACCGACCCACCCGATTGGTAGGACAGGTGGTGAATGAGACGAAAGGATCCTGGCTCCTTCTTAGGAACCAACCCCAGCGGGGATACCCACAAATTGGGAAATGGAGGTGTGTCAAACGGACCGGACATCCTGCCCAAACAAACTTCTTTCCTCAACTAATCCTCTAGCATAGTCTCTTTTCCCACAACCGAACGCAGGTTGTCCGCCAACTAAGGGGAATCCGAATAAACAAGCGGAATCCAAAACCCTGTCGAAAACCCCTCCAGCAGAACCCCTGCATCCTTACGCTTGGGATACCGGTCGAGTCAAGGGCACATCCTTAGCACGCTCACCGGCGTCCTCAGCTCTAGGGAGATCCTCCCTATTGGGTCTCCCACCTTGCTTGCCCTTCTTGAAGCACAAGGAGAGCACTCGTGCTTGAATCGGCATGATCCAAACCACTTGCAATGGCTCTCATTGTAGAGCCAGCAGACTCCCTTGCGCTGCCCGACCGGCACACTGGACGGTGCACCGGCTGCTCCCGGAAAAATGTGTGCACTTCCTGTTAGTCTGGCCGGGTACAGAAGACAGATGCTCCCTGTACCCGCGGACCATATAGAGCTCGGCCACGCTACAGTGAGGGAGTGACAGGAGGGAGCGCTGAGCGTTTCCCTCCTGTCAGCCCCTCTCCTCATGATGCGCCCGGGCGGTGCGCCCTCATGGACGCACCAGCCCGGGCAAAGCTGCAGCCGCCTGAGGCTCTCTACAGAGCGCTCGGGCGGCTGCAGCATGAGGGTCATGGCACCCCCCACCCTGGTGGCACCCGGGGCAGACCGCCCCCTCCGCCCCCCACCCCCCCCCTTAGTACGCCACTGCATGCTACTGAGGATCTTATTGTGCTCTACTAAGAGTGTTATGTCAATATTTTATTAATATTTGTTGTTTTTCACTTTTATGTTCAGTTTTTCATTATGTATTGTGTAATTATGTAATATGCAAGTGCAAGTGGACATCAACAACTATAAACTGTTAAAAACAAGGGATTTTTTTTATAATTAATACTAAACGTAGATAGAAAACAAAGAAAAAAAAGTTACTTGCGCACTATTTTAAATCCCTGTGCATATTTATATAAATGGATTTTTTAGTTTCACTCCAATGGCCATTAGATGGAAGCCCACCTAGGTGGGTCCTATACTAGCAATTCACATTTCTTGCTTCCACTTAAGGCAAGAGAAAATTTCTAATGAGACAGAGAGGGTTTTTTGTTTTTTTTAACCCCTACGTACTTATTAACCCTTAATAGGCAACACATGGAGTGGGCGGCAGCAATGTTACATGACTGTGTGATACAAAAGTAAATACAAATACACAAACAAAAGTCCTGCGCTCAAACTCCCACTTCTCCTGGGCGGCAGCAATGACCATAGTACACATCAGCTTCAATACATACAATAAAAAAAAACAAAGAAAATAAAGTTATTTTTCTCACCATTCCAAATCCCTCTGCATATTTATATAAATGAGGTTTTTAGTTCCACACCAATAGCTATTAGATAGAAAACAAGTCACATCAATCATAAGGGGAATGTGGTAAATGCTATAGGAGGAGGATGTTTATAGTGCCAGTCTGAAAGTGCCTGATCTCGTCAGATCTCAGAAATCATGCAGACTTGGGCCTGCTTAGTACTTGTATGGGAGACCAACTAGGAACCTCAGGTGCCGTAAGCTTTTGTTTATTTCTTTTTTAGATTATGATGTCATAATCAGATCACTTTTTTCCCTAGTCAGAAGCGTCTTGTCTTTTGTCGCAACCAGTGTTTGATATTATACCAACATCAGCGAGATCACTTTCTGCTAAGTTCGCCTATGACCCTACCAGTCTGAAAGTGCCAGATCTTAGAAGTCATGCAGACTTGGGCCTGCTTAGTACTTGTATGGAAGACCAACTAGGAACCTCAGGTGCCGTAAGCTTTTGTTTATTTCTGTTTTAGATTATGATGTCATAATCAGATCACTTTTTTCCCTAGTCAGAAGCGTCTTGTCTTTTGTCGCAACCAGTGTTTGATATTATACCAACATCAGCGAGATCACTTTCTGCTAATTTCGCCTACGGCCATACCAGTCTGAAAGTGCCAGATCTCAGAAATCATGCAGACTTAGGCCTGCTTAGTACTTGTATGGAAGACCAACTAGGAACCTCAGGTGCCGTAAGCTTTTGTTTATTTCTTTTTTAGATTATGATGTCATAATCAGATCACTTTTTTCCCTAGTCAGAAGCGTCTTGTCTTTTGTCACAACCAGTGTTTGATATTATAACAACATCAGCAAGATCACTTTCTGCTAATTTTGCCTATGGCCATACCAGTCTGAAAGTGCCTGATCTTGTCAGATCTCAGAAGTCATGCAGATTTGGGCCTGCTTAGTACTTGCGTGGGAGACCAACTAGGAACCTCAGGTGCCCTTAAGTTTTTGTTTATTTCTTTCTTAGATTATGATATCATAATCAGATCACTTTTTTCCCTAGTCAGAAGCGTCTTGTCTTTTGTCGCAACCAGTGTTTGATATTAACCCAACATCAGCGAGATCACTTTCTACTAATTTCGCCTACGGCCATACCAGTCTGAAAGTGCCTGATCTCGTCAGATCTCAGAAGTCATGCAGACTTGGGCCTGCTTAGTACTTGTATGGGAGACCAACTAGGAACCTCAGGTGCTGTAAGCTTTTGTTTATTTCTTTTTTAGATTATGATGTCATAATCAGATCACTTTTTTCTCTAGTCAGAAGCGTCTTGTCTTTTGTCGCAACCATTGTTTGATATTATACCAACATCAGCGATATCACTTTCTGCTAATTTTGTCTACGGCCATACCAGTCTGAAAGTGCTTGATTTTGTCAGATCTTAGAAGTCATGTAGACTTGGGCCTGCTTAGTACTTGTATGGGAGACCAACTAGGAATCTCAGGTGCCGTAAGCTTTTGTTTATTTCTTTTTTAGATTATGATGTCATAATCAGATCACTTTTTTCTCTAGTCAGAAGCGTCTTGTCTTTTGTCGCAACCAGTGTTTGATATTATACCAACATCAGCGAGATCACTTTCTGAAAATTTTGTCTATGTACATACCACTCTGAAAGTGCCTGATCTCGTCTGATCTCAGAAGTCTTGCAGACTTGGGCCTGCTTAGTACTTGTATGGAAGACCAACTAGGAACCTCAGGTGCCGTAAGCTTTTGTTTATTTCTTTTTTATTTTAAATTCTTTATTTGTATTCGTGCATGAATAAACAGTCAGGTCTGTCACGCCACAATAGCAATGCAAGACCCTATATCAACAAGTGGTAACATGGCATAATAAGTTCTATGCACAATATTGAAGTAAAATTGAGAGTGACATGCAAACAATGACAGACAAGGTATATGACACTCGAGTTTTATGTCAAGCTGGTGAGTCTAAGTTGTAGGCGTTATAACTGCTTAGGTGAAGGGATGTGCTCTTATGAACACGTCGAGATAGTTAGGAACATGCTTTCAATATTGCATGAGAAGTTAAGAGAATAAGTGATGTGCAAGCTTAGGTGAATCGGTTTCATAACATATATGGCCCACTAGCTTAGATAAGGATGTTTGAGTCTGGGGTGCCAGGTTACTATATTGCAGGCTAAGAGAATATGCTAGTAAGACTCTTATGAAATGCAAGTTGTATATGCCTCTATGAGGTCAGGTTATGTGCCAAGGATAAGTAAGGCACCCCTACGGGAAACAAAACCGCTTGAAGGACATTAAAACGATGTGGCTCAATAGGAGCCTAGTGGGGGCTTCCTTTTTTCCCCAAGTCTGCATTTTACTTATGTATAGAGTGACAGGTTATTGTGACGCCACAACAGCGAGTACAATGTCAATACATCCGTAGTGAATTATAACGTGGCAGATTGTACAGCACATTTTTATATTTAGGAAAAGTAGCGGTCCAGCAGTGTGTACATGGATTCTAATATTACAAGTTTATGTCTGTAAGCTAGAAATAGAGGCATGTAGGAAACATGAAGCGTGGTGCCCAATATAGTAATAGACCAGCCCTTGTAGGATGAGCTGTCCCGTCGCGAGGTACCTATGTCATTTTCCATTTGACACATGTAGCTGAGTCTAATGGGATTAGAAGGTTTGGATTGTGGCATCTTAGTCACGTTCCTTCTAGAGTTTTGGTGGCCTACTTGGTAGAGTAGCTTATGGGGTTCTGGCCCAGGTGTGATGTGGGCGTCTTAGTTCCCTCAAGTCTCAGGGCGGTTTGGGGGGGGAGGGTGAGCGCAACTTGGTGTCAGACAGTCCCATAGGGGTAAGTGTGTGTAGTGGCTAAAATAAGTGGGTGGGCCTCTGAGGTCGTGTGTATAATAGCGTCAGGAGCAAGTAGAAATATGTGGAAGCGGGCATTACATGTTGTAGACAAATAGAGTTTAAAAAAGCAAAAATATAAAAACAAGAAAACTTTAAACTGTATTGCCTATGGGGGCATTTCTCAATGCATAGACATAAACCTTATGCAGTCCAGGTCTCATTTAGGTGAGAGTGTCCCGTTCCCCTCTGGGAATGAACGGAGGTATGTTGTCAACGTCCCAGGTTCTTTGGGGTAGTGTCATCGGGTCTGGCGTAGGCAGGCCTAGGGCTTGTAGGAATTGCGGGTGTTTATTTCTTTTTTAGATTATGATGTCATAATCAAATCACTTTTTTCCCTAGTCAGAAGCGTCTTGTCTTTTGTCGCAACCAGTGTTTGATATTATACCAACATCAGCGAGATCACATTCTGCTATTTTTGCCTACGGCCATACAAGTCTGAAAGTGCCTGATCTCGTCAGATCTCAGAAGCATGCAGACTTGGGCCTGCTTAGTACTTGTATGGGAGACTAACTAGGAACCCCAGGTGCCGTAAGCTTTTGTTTATTTCTTTTTTAGATTATGATGTCATAATCAGATCACTTTTTTCCCTAGTCAGAAGCGTCTTGTCTTTTGTCGCAACCAGTGTTTGATATTAACCCAACATCAGCGAGATCACTTTCTACTAATTTCGCCTACGGCCATACCAGTCTGAAAGTGCCTGATCTCGTCAGATCTCAGAAGTCATGCAGACTTGGGCCTGCTTAGTACTTGTATGGGAGACCAACTAGGAACCTCAGGTGCTGTAAGCTTTTGTTTATTTCTTTTTTAGATTATGATGTCATAATCAGATCACTTTTTTCTCTAGTCAGAAGCGTCTTGTCTTTTGTCGCAACCATTGTTTGATATTATACCAACATCAGCGATATCACTTTCTGCTAATTTTGTCTACGGCCATACCAGTCTGAAAGTGCTTGATTTTGTCAGATCTTAGAAGTCATGTAGACTTGGGCCTGCTTAGTACTTGTATGGGAGACCAACTAGGAATCTCAGGTGCCGTAAGCTTTTGTTTATTTCTTTTTTAGATTATGATGTCATAATCAGATCACTTTTTTCTCTAGTCAGAAGCGTCTTGTCTTTTGTCGCAACCAGTGTTTGATATTATACCAACATCAGCGAGATCACTTTCTGAAAATTTTGTCTATGTACATACCACTCTGAAAGTGCCTGATCTCGTCTGATCTCAGAAGTCTTGCAGACTTGGGCCTGCTTAGTACTTGTATGGAAGACCAACTAGGAACCTCAGGTGCCGTAAGCTTTTGTTTATTTCTTTTTTAGATTATGATGTCATAATCAGATCACTTTTTTCCCTAGTCAGAAGCGTCTTGTCTTTTGTCGCAACCAGTGTTTGATATTATACCAACATCAGCGAGATCACTTTCTGCTAATTTGCCTACGGCCATACAAGTCTGAAAGTGCCTGATCTCGTCAGATCTCAGAAGCATGCAGACTTGGGCCTGCTTAGTACTTGTATGGGAGACTAACTAGGAACCTCAGGTGCCGTAAGCTTTTGTTTATTTCTTTTTTAGATTATGATGTCATAATCAGATCACTTTTTTCCCTAGTCAGAAGCGTCTTGTCTTTTGTCGCAACCAGTGTTTGATATTATACCAACATCAGCGAGATCACTTTCTGCTAATTTCGCCTACGGCCATACCAGTCTGAAAGTGCCTGATCTCGTCACATTTTAGAAGTCTTGCAGACTTGGGCCTGCTTAGTACTTGTATGGGAGACCAAATAGGAACCTCAGGTGCCATAAGCTTGTGTTTATTTCTTTTTTAGATTATGATGTCATAATCAGATCACTTTTTTCCCTAGTCAAAAGCGTCTTGTCTTTTGTCGCCATTAAAAGGGAGGCGGGGTGAGAGAGACAGGACCACTAAAGGGGAGGGGGTGAGAAAGACAGGACTACTAAGAGGGGGAAGATACGGGGGGCCACTAAGGTGGAGGGGGAGAGAGAGCCATCCTTCTGCACATAAAAGGCATGTTAACAGGAAGATATTAGTTCTACAGAGCTTACGAAAGCAGCAGGCGCACTGGGCGTTAGCTCTACAGAGCTTGCGAAAGCAGCAGGCGCACTGGGCGTTAGTTCAACAGAGCTTACGAAAGCAGCAGGCGCACTGGGCTAGCATGCACCTGCTATCCCACCTTCTCAATAAAATACAGTCTAGCAGAGATGTATGGGACATCTCAGCATTTGGCAACAGTTCCATATTAAAGTACTTCAACACAAAATGTGTTATCTCAATTTTGTGACTTGAGGGGGTGGGGCTTACAGCTGCAATTACAATCAATGAGTACAGAGAGATATAGGCCAACTCAAACTATATCTACAGGTTGTTATGGTGGCTGGAATGACTCTTTGAGGGTTGAAACACTGAAAGCCATACAAGGCCAGTGGCGGGTCCGGGGGGGGGGGCAACGGGGCAATTGCCCCCCCCCCCCCGAGAAATCCGCCGGTCTCCCTCTCCCCTGCCAGGACATTCAGGTGCTAGCCCTGCTATGTGCCTGCTGACCGGGGAGGGAGATCAGAGTTCTCCCTCCCTGGTCCGCAGGCACCGTGCTGGCAGCCAGCAGGGGAGAGAGAGGGAGGAGAGAGGACCTGGGAGCTCAGCCTGCAGCTCCTCCGGGTCCTCCTCTCTCGAGATTTGGAGCGTTACCACGGCAACGCTCCAAATCTTGCGAGAGTGAACTCTCCCCACTGAGACCACCAATGAATCCTCCACCGGACCACCAGGGATCGAAATATGTCCCCCCTCCTCCTCCATAAAGGTACGAAGGGGGGGGACATATTTCGATCCCTGGTGGTCCAGTGGAGGATTCATATATATATTTTTTAAAAAGCCCCCCTACCCTTATCACACACACACACACACTGCCCCCCATACACAAACACTGCCCCATACACACACACTGCCCCCCATACACACACACACTGCCCCCCCACACACACACACTGCCCCCCCACACGGACACTGCCCCCCATACACTCACACTGCCCCCCACACACACACACACTGCCCCCATACACACACACTGCCCCCATACACTCACACTGCCCCCATACACTCACACTGCCCCCCCATACACACACACTGCCCCACACACACACTGCCCCCCTACACACACTGCCCCCATACACTCACACTGCCCCCATACACCCACACTGCCTCCCCACACACACTGCCCCCATACACTCACACTGCCCCCATACACAAATACTGCCCCCATACACACACACACTCTACACTACCTCCATACACACACTGCTCCCCATACACACACTGCCCCCTTACACTGCCATCCCATACACACACATTGCCCACACTCACACTGCAATACTAACACACACTGTAACTGTTACACACACATACACTGCATCCCTGACATACACTGCCGCCCTCACTCACACACTACAACCTTCACACACACACACACACACACACACACTGCACCCCTTACACATTGCACCACTCACACACACCAGTGCTCCTATGCCCTACTACAGCCCCATTTCCCAGCAGACCTCAGGTAAGTTGTCAAACTGTTCTTAAACGATTTGACTTCTTACTCTGGGAGGGGGTCCCGGCACTATTGACACCATAACCACTACACTGAGCTGTAGTGGTTATTGTGTCTGGATTATTTCTTTAAATAATCCACAAGTGCCCCTCCCGAGATCAGGCTCTGGATCCGCCACTGTACAAGGCTGAGGTGTCTGACATGGAGCTTGGGCTTTCAAGTAATCGTTACCTTTAAATGTAGATCACCCAAGCTATAAACTGTCAACATGTAAGTAAAACCATCCTAAAATGTTCTATGCCATCACTTTTTATTTACTAGGACAAAGTATCTGTTAATGGTTTGTGTTATGCCCCCCAAGTGTTGTCTGGCGCTTAATTAGTTAATCTAATGCAGCACGTGTCTATTCAATAAATTATACAGCCAGGTATGAGGTATCAAATCCAGAGGCTGTGTTTTACTTATTGTATACTGGATGTGTTCACACAAGGGTTTCTTAGTATATACATATTATACAGCTTCCTAACCTTCCAAATCCTGCGCTGGAGTAAAATATTATATTGGCATGCCCTCACTCACCCTTATGGAGCAAATTTCACTATCAATTAAAGTTATCTACTTATTGTTTGCATTTGGGTCAACATGAGTTTGCACAGAACTCAATTTACTGAATTCTCCCTATTTTACTATGAAATATATACAAAGATGACGATCAAGATTGAAGCAGTGGATGAATATACATGTGCTAAAACTCCGGAGAGGCTGTGGTTTTTCAAACTTACAGCTTTGCCCATAAAGCACTGGCTCTAGTATTAATGCATTAATAATTTCCATACAACTATAGCTAGTCCTTTAAAAGCTAAGTTTTTGATGTTGATTGCGAATGAGGTGGATATTGATTTTTTTTTTCATTTCATAAATGACAGGTGAAGTTTCCAGTATCTGCCCTTAAGTCATTTCCTTGGAAGGATTTATTAGTCAGATAATTTACAGCTATATGTAATCTTCTATAAATAATACAATTTAACTCTATGAGAACTGTTTGGCCAGCAATTCTGTAAGCTAAAACCCTAATATTTTTTGTCACCCACCATAAAAACACAAATATACTAGAAAAAGGACACAATTAATTTTTATTTTTATTACTGGCATTTATAAAGCGCCAACATAGTCCTCAGCGCTGAACACATGCCGACCACTATACACATGAATTAGTTGAAATTATCAAAATTCCCGAGCATGACACATCAAACAATGCTTTGTAGCTGTATTATTACTTAAAGGGACACTTGCATGTCAAACCAAAATAGAACTATAACCTAGCTAAAGGTTGTGCTATTTAATATAAATTAAAAAGGATTGGGCAAATAGGTTTAATTTTATATCCATCTATGTACACATGATTTGCACATACCTACTGCAACGGAAGAAAACCTCCAAATATATTAATTTCCATATCACATTACTGTGAATTTATATGTAACAAATAAATTCCTTTTTATGAAACTTGAATTGACATTTTTCATTAACATTTTTTTTTCTTTTCCTAAATAGGTAACAAACATATTGTATTGCATGCCCAATTTAAAAAAAAAAAAAAAGAATGAGACAGAGAGGATGAATTAGAAAGATAGGAGTAAAATAATTAGAAGATCGATAAATAATATATCAGCCACATTAAAACCATCCACCTGATTTCATGTAGGTCTCCTTTGTGATCTCTGAACTTGTCCTGTGGTATCTGGAACCAATACATTAGCAGCAGGTCCTCCGAGTTGCACTGTGGGGCCTCCATAGATCACATTTGTTGTTCCAGCACATCCCACAGAAGCTCATTTGGATTGAGATCTGTGGAATTTGGAGGCCAAGGTAACACCTTAAACTCTTTGTCATGTTCATCAAACCATTTCTGAACACTTTTTGTTGTGTGGCAGGGTGCATTTGCTATGAATGCGTTTGCTTTCACTGGTGGATAGGTGTCATCATGGGCACTCTGACCTGTTTATGGCTGCGTAGCCCCATATGCAGCAAACTGGGATGCTCTGTGTGTTGTGACACCTTTCAATCATTGCAAGTATTATGTTTTTTAGCAATTTGGCCAGATCACACAGAATAGCTACTGTAGTTCAGACAGGATAGCCTTCGCTCCCCACGTGCATCCATGAGCCAGATCCTGATGATTTCACCGGTTGTCCTTCTTGCATCACTCTTGGTTGAAATGAAATTTGGGATAGTGCGTAAGTAACTTTTTTCTTTTGTTTTTATTGCATGTATTGTGGCAGGAGTAGTGGGAGTCTGAGCATAGGACTTTTTTTTGTGTATTTGTATTTGCTTTTGTATCACATAGCCATGTTACAATACTGCCACCCACCCCATGTGTTCCCTATTAAGGGTTAATAAGTATGTAGGGGTTTGGAAAAATACTATTCTCTGAGATTAGAGATTTTTTTTACATGATGCTGAAGGAAGCAATGTAAATTGTTAGTGTAGGACTCCCCTAAGAGGTTTGCCTTGACATGGCAGGGGAGCTTACATCTAATGGCCAGCGGAATGGTACTAAAAACCTCCAGTTACATAAATATGCATCGGAATTTCTGCTGATGTATGCTATGGTCATTGGAGTAGTGGGATTCTGAGCGCAGGATTTATTTTTGCGATCAAGAGCTATCCAGGCACATATCACAGGTGGGGGCACAGGTCTCCCCGAAGCCCCAGGAACCCCGTTTTATGTGGCTA